TAATATTTTCTTGAAGTTTCTTGATACACTGATACTAAACCTTGTTTATAATATTTTCTTGAAGTTTCTTAATACACTGATTCTAAACCTTTGGAACTGAAAATTGAAGGAAAATTATTTTGATATTTTTTTATTTTTGCGGAATTATGCGATAAAATGATTATGCATTCGCACTCTTGTTCAAAAATTCTAATAGAAACGATATCTTGAACCCAAATTATTTATATTATATATTTATAAAATTCTTTAGTTGGACTAAAAACAAAGTCGCGTATATTTAGTTAACAAAAAACTTAGTCGGTTAATTTTAGTTAACTAAAAAGTTAGTCGACTGATTTTAGTTAACTAAAAAGTTAGTCGCATAATTTTAGTTAACTAAAAAGTTAGTCGACTGATTTTAGTTAACTAAAAAGTTAGTCGACTAATTTTAGTTACGGTATTTTTAGTTTAGTTAGTTACAATTTTTAGTTTTGGTCACAACACTAAACGCCTGAGGGAAGAAATGAAGTACATTAGAACAAAGCAGAATTATTTATTAGACAAAGCATATTTTGACAGTTGTCAAGACAAAAATAAAGATTAATAGAGGAATATTTAAAAATAAATAAGACAGGCTATACACCCAAAACAGTACTCAACAATAATAACAATAAAAAAAAAACAAAAATAAAAGTTAAAAGAAAAAAAAAAATAATAATAATAAAAGTTGTTTTTTAAACACCAATATGCACTAAGATATACAACAAATACATCACCAGACAAAAACTTAAAAAACAAAAAACCGATCACAAAATAAAAAATATGCTAACAACAATGAAAAGCCTAATAATGGAAAAAAAAAAAAACATTAATGCTAATGTGTAAACGTAATTAGAGTAGTGATTAAGTAATAAACAAAAAATTTCATAAATCTATTTTAAGAAAGAAAACCAAATAGGTATTATTAGCATAAACAAGCCTAAGATAATCAATCAAAAAGAAGTATACCTCATTAAAATTTTTTTTTTAATCAACAAAACAACAATAGCCTTAAATAAACTCTAACGCTGTCATAGATACCTCATTCGAAATATGATAACCGACCAAAAGTGTAGGAAAATGAGCAACCCGCAAAACCCAAAATAATAACAAAATTGAGTAATATATGGTAGCGAAAAAGAACGTTGCACAAAAACATTAAAAATGTAAGCGGCATATATGTAAACATTTAATGTATGATATAAAAATATTCTCTTAAAATAATAAACATGAAAATAGTGCATGTGAAAATTAAACAAAGCTGAGTAATGAATGCAAGATAATATAACATAAAAGTTTCTTGTAAACAGTAATAATATAAGAATCAGGAGATAAATAATATAAATTGCAATAAGACTAACTAAATATTGTAATAAAACCAGATAATTTTAAGCCAAATGAGTGGTTAAAAAATTAGTTGTGGATAATATAACAATGATATAAGTCGTGATATAAAAACGATGCAATGTACAAGCGGGATAAAAAATGAAGTTTGCTCTAAGGTCCGAACTAAAAGAAACTTTGAGACCGTATCTTAATCGAAATTTCCGAAAGGTAAAGTTTTCTCTACGGTCCGAATTAAATGTAACTTTAAGACCATAACAAAATAACAAACATCGACAAAACATGTCGAAAGCCGCTATATTTATATATTAATATATACATATGAATCCTTAAATGAAAAACTCAATCACACATGATAAACACATATAGATAACATAGAAATCTATATCAACATTTCAACCACATATTATCTATTTAAAGAAAATATTATACATACTATATATATATAAAATATTATATATATAAAATATTATTTTATATAATAACATTACTACTTATGTTACTACAATTTTATATAATAAGATGTTATGTTATATTAATGATATAATAAGATGTTATGTTATATTAATGATATAATAAGATGTTATGTTATATTAATGATATAATAACATCTTATTATATAAAAGTTAAATAAATTAACTTAAATTAAATATTAATATAACATTTTAAAGGTTGTCATTAAGATGTTATATCAATATTTATTAGTAATATCGCATCATAATGCAAATATAATATAAATATATTAAGATGATATATCAATATTTATTAATAACATCGCATCATAATGCAAATATAATATAAATATATTAAGATGTTATATCAATATTTATTAATAATATCGCATCATAATGCAAATATAAAATAAATATATTAAGATGTTATATCAATATTTATTAATATTATCGCATCATAAAATATACTAAGATCCTATCCTGTTATATTACTATTAACAAAAGCATTATAACATCATAAATTGATAATATTGTACTAAATTTTATGCAATATTATACAAAAGTTTAACTATATTATTATTATATTGTAATATACTAATTATAAATTATAAATTATCTTTTCAAAAATTTAAGAGCCTATTTAAACATCCTAAATTTTAGTTATGATCCTAGTGATCTGTGCAATTTTAACTGGAAGGATTATATTAATTTTAACTGGAAGGTTATATTATTATAAGTTTTATTACTAAACCTTATAATAATATAACATCTTAATTATTAAGATTTTATTAAGTTAATTGGATGTTAAATTATTATGATGCATTTATACTTGTGTTGGTATCTATGATTAGTGTTAACTTTAATATAATATATACAACTTATATACATAAATTCTATATATTATAATAAGATTCTTTATCAAACTGACAATATAGCTGTATATGAATCATAATAATATTACACTATTTCTAATATTTAGTGATTTTAACGTTACGTCAAAGTTAAGACAATTCAATGCTAACTTTTCTTACTTAAATTGAGCTGAGCAAGTTTTTAAAAAGTTTGGTGAATATCATTTCAGGTTGGTGAATACCGATTTTTTAGCGCTATACTTACGAAAAAATTTACGTAAGTTTTGTTAAATGCAACTGCGCAAGTTTCATAAATACGAATTTCACAGTTTTGAACTTACGCCAAAATTACGCAAAAAAAAAAAAGTTGTAGCAAAAAAAAGTTTGCTATACGCTCCCTGCTGCTTAACTCTCTAACTATTGTAATATGTTCTGTCCCTGTAGTTGGTACTGTAATGTCTTTTCTTCGATCAAAACTAATACATTGTTATTTCACATTTTTACATTTTCTCTAAATTACAATTTTTTGTCCAACACGAAGTCTTTCTCTCCTACTTTTTTTCTTCAACTTTATTCTTATCAAGCATATTTTGGTTACACTTGTTTTAGAAACAGCTTCGTAAAGTTTGTCATTTTCATTATTAGATTCATGCAATACTTTCTTTAGATTCATACATTTTATCAGCAGTAATGCTATCCAACAATCTTTCTCATAAACGATTTTATGTGTGATTAACTGCTGTTGCTTTGTTACAAAAATTTTTTTTCGTGTTTCAATTTTTTTAAAAGTAGATATATAAATATGATTATGTAAGTGATTTTTACGTTGCATTTGTCCAACAAACGCACCCCATTCTTTTATTGTCACTTTAAAAGAACTTCTGCATTTCTCACTTTCACTACTCCTGTATCATAACGGTTGCGCAAACAAATATCAAACATTTCAAAAGCTTTCAATTTTGCATAAAAATGATAATTTGTTCCAAATCTTGAAATTTTATTTAAATTGCTTTTTTTATTGGTCCACTTTTAAAAAAATTCCTTCTATTTCAGTTGTTGCAAAACTAAATTTACCTTATATATTTTTAATTTCTGAAGTAACTAAAAGGCAACATTCATTAAGAGAACTTGACTCTTTGCCTTTAATATCTTTTTTCTGTGTACATAAAATCAATATTTTACAACATCTCTTTTTGTAGGTATCATTGCTGTTGGAAATAAAGAACCTTGTCCAAATGTTAAGTTGTTAGTATTACGGTGAGTCTGAAATGCTGCCAAAAAATAATGAGCTGCTTTTTATCAATTAATTGCTTTATCAGTACCGTGGTTACTGGGTCCGAGACCCCTCAAAAAACTTGTCATTAGGGCCCCATAATCATCATAAAAATTTTTTAGGGATGGGCGGGAGAGGGAAAGTCTTATATTTCCCCCTCCCTTTCCCTAATTGCATTTTATTTAAAGGAGCTCTAGTTTTTATCTACTCGATTTGTGAAAAAATTACGTCTTTCATTATATCTCAAATTTTTTTCGACGGCTAGTTCATAGGCATGACTCCTTGTTCTTAAACTATACTTATATCTTTGATAGGCTGGTGTGGCTTGTTGCGCCACAAAATTGATTGAATCAATTCCATTAATTATTTTATAATGCTGGATAAGATCCATACGCGTGCAACGTTTTTCAAGGGTAGTCAAATTAGACCGTGTTAAACGTTCCTTGTATTTTAGGTGGCTTATTGACTCAATCCATTTTGTGGTTCAATGTTGAATTCTTTCGATTGTATTTATATCTCCTATGAAATGAGAAGACCATGCCGGGGCGGCAGAGTTGTATGGGGGAGAAAGTTTATTTATTTGTACGTACTAATCTTTAAATAAGAAGGGGTATTTTATAAATTATAGTATGAATTATTTAGATATATAAAAATGTTATTTAGAAAAATCAAATTATTTAAAATATGTTTTAAATAGTTTCAAATAAGTTTAGATATTTGGAGATTAGTGTTACGACAAAATATTTGACAATAACAAAAGTGGCAACAATGTTTTCTATTTTTGGTAAAACTACTTTAAAATTTCACTGTTGTTGAAAACGTTCAATTTATAGGTTGACAGGTATCTGAATGTATACTCTTTTTCTTTTATATCTTTTGTATAACTCTGTGCGATTCGAAGACTCCTAACCTAGACTTGTAAAATTTAAAACTCGATCAGTAATTTTTTTAAACTAATGATAAAAATGTAAAAATGTAAAAAAATAGTTAAAAAATGTAAAGAACTAGTAATAACCACTGAAGAAATAATAAATAAATAAAACAATAATAATTTTCTTTTAGGAAAATTACGGCGTCAAAGTTGCTGCATTGTGTCCAACGTTTTCGGATACTCAAATGATTAAAGAAAATACGTTGGTCGACATGATGAAATCTTCAAACATGGTTCCTTTAACTGTAGAAAAAGTTGCGAATGATTTTATCAGATTACTAGAGGATATTTACAATGAAAAAGCAAAAAATGGCGAGATAATGTGTGTTTGCTCAAAATCCAAATATGTAGATGAAAACAAATTTGATTTACGCGAGTTAATATTACCAGTGAGTGAATAATCAGAAAAAGAAAGTATTTAATTCAAAGAACTTTTTTAAGGACTGAATATTTTTATATAAAAGTTTTTTTTTATAAATAATAAATAAAAGCTGTTATCTAAAAAAAATCTATTATGAAAAAAAGACAACGTTTAATATTATTTGTCACTCATCACTTTTTAATGTGTAATTGGTATCCTATCGCCATTTATAATTGCTTTATATATAGTTTTTCTATCACTATTTATAATATATGTAATTTAACATATATAACTGCTTGATATAATGTTACTGCCAGTTATAGCTCCTTTATATAATGTTTGCTTATCGCCAGTTATGATTGCTTTTTATATTGTTCGCTTATCGCAAGTTATGATTGCTTTATATAATGTTTGCTTATCGCCAGGTATAACTGTATTTATTGCTGTTTCGCTTTATTGCTATTTCGCTTTTTGCTATTTTCGCTTTATTATATAGTTCTCCAATTACCATCTATAACTGCTTTATATATTGTTCTCTTATCGCATAAAGTTTTCGAATCAAATATGATTATTGTTTTTTTATTGATTAAAAGATGGTTTGTCAAAAATTAAGTTTGTCAAAAAATTGTTAATATAGTATACCTTAAATTTATATTTAATGCTATCAGGTTGCAGTACACCTTGAATAGAGATCCTAGAATCCAATCATTACATGAATGCGTGTTTTGTAGTTTTATGTTCTTAAAACAAATAAAAAGTAAATTTCAGTGAAAAACATCGTAAACTCGTGAATTGATTTTCTAAACTTATTATTTAAAATGAATGCACATTTATTCAATTTGTTATCAACGATTTTTAATTCGGTAAATGCAGCAGAAATTAATAAAAGGTTTTCATAGTTCAACCTATGAAATTTCTTCATGTAAAATAATGCTCATTTTTGTTGCGTTTTACTTTCAGTTTTCCAAAATTATTTCGTTAACGGTTTTTTTGTTTGTAGTTTTTATTCTCAGAAAAATTTTAAGGAATCAAGTGTCAAGATGTTACAAAATACATATACTAGGAAGCTTTATGCACGCGTCATTTTGTACCTGCATTAGGAGTTTATTATAAACGGGAGAGTGTGTAAAATCAATTTATTTCAAAAACTGTCATCGAATAACTGTTTCTTGTACCAAAATATATTTTACTTATTTAAAAGTGTTGCAGTCAATTTAAAAAAAAATATTTTTAGTTGCGATGCTGCATATTGATTTGTTGTTTTGTTTTGAGTTTCACTTCTTAAGTATGTAGAGTATTAACTATGGTTCAAACTATGTTACTGTCTTTAACCGGTTTGGTTTAGTTGAGTAGGACTAAAGGTAGATCCTGAACTGGTCAACTTAGCGGGGTTTTTTCGGAAGAATTTTCTAGAAAGCTGCAATGATAATATTATTTTGTCAAAGTATTATCGTTGTGCAGCTAAGACATTAAACTGAGGTTGGCGACACAAGTGACTACAAGTTTGAACTCCGTCTATAATGCATTAATAATACTCTATATGTTTCGTTGCATATGAATGTAAGATCTAAGTTTTCCATAATTTGAACGATGTTTCCATTCTTTTGCGCATCTCTATTACAACCTGCCAGTTGTCAGCTACATCCTTCATGAATATATCACAGTGGACTATACAAGTAAAAAGATTAATGATGCAAACGAAGTAATAAGAGGCGTTATGAAACAAAGAATGAATAAAAAGATGCGTGATGCAAACGGAGTAAAAAGAGGTATGAATTTTTGCGCATAATCAACACCAAAAAATTAGATTTTACGACAGAATCCAATAAGACTTGCCAGAAGAATGCTGGCAATATTAATGTAAGTAACAATTTAATCATAAAAAATAAGCAACACTAAGTAAATTTAAACTTAGTATAAAACACTTTTTAGTCTAAAACAATTTAAAAAAAGCGTCACTTTACAGGGTTTCCCACTTCATTTCGACAACGTACCATTCAATTTCGACTTTGTATCAGTACATTTCGACAATGTTTCATTCAATTTCGACACCGTTGCATTTGATTTCGACTGTTTTGCATTCAATTTCGACAGCGCTAATAATACTTAAATTAATATACAAATAAAGCAGTTAGATTCTTTCTAAATTCATTTAGATAATATAATTTTTTAGTTTGGATACAAACTAAAATCTAAACAAAAAAATTATCGTATATGAATTATTGTAATTGCAAATACTCGCTAATAAAAATAAAAATTACAAAAGTAAGTTTATTCTTCAATAACTGGTTCTCTTTTTGAACACGGAATCATATACCTCAGTACGTGCGCAAAATAATTATTACAGTTTGTGCTAGTAATATTCAATGCACCGTTTTGTATATTTTCAAGCAGTTCAGTCCTAGGCGAACATCTTCTGATAAACTGTTTCCATTCAGAAAACATATTTTCAATAGGGTTTAAAAAGGGGGAGTATGGAGGTAAAAATATCAAAGAATGCCCAGCACGTACTATTTCATTATGAACTACATCAGTTTTATGAAATTGAACATTGTCTAAAATTAAGATAGATCCAACAACTTTATTAACAGCTAATTGTGCTAATACTAAACGAATAAAGTCGAAAAAGCTTTCTGTATTAAATGCTCTAGTTTGTGCTTCATATTTCAAAATTCCGTTTTTGTTCATTGCATAACAGACGGAAATATTTCTTGACCGTATATTGGTCACTGTTTGTGTGGCCCTCTTTCCAGCTAAAGAACGTCCTCTTCTAACTTGCATTGAAAGACTAAATCCTACTTCATCAATAAAGAATATTTTATCGTCATTCATAGAAGACAAAATGTTCATAAATCTTTCTGCATAAGAAGCTCTTTCATTAATAACGTCTTTCGAATTTCTTTTCTCTGGAATATTGTGAACACGTTTGATGACAATTTAATTATGTATTGTTGGGATATTTTCCAAAGCGGAGATATTTTTTAATAAAAAATTTATTTTGGCAATTAGACATAATTTATCCGGTCAATAAAAATAATGAATATAGCAATTAAAAACAACTATTATGGTAACTTGAAATAATTTATATCAACATTGCTTATTTTACCTATATATTTTACGTATATCCAAAAAAATACTGAAACCATATTCATGATGTCAGTACCCACTTTAAATTATGCAGAATTAAAAAAAAAATCACATCAATTGTTTTATTGTCCCGATTAAATTCAACCCATAATTACAACCCAGCCACGAAGTCCTGCAAACTATGCACATACGAAAAATATGAAATTCTGTTTTCCAAAAATAAAATCTGTTAAATAAAAACGTGAAATGGTATCCAAGTGCAGGCATCGAAACAAGTTCCTTCTCGCCCGAGTGATTGAGCAATTTTCTAATTAATTAAAAAATTATTTGTTTTGACGTCAAAACTCATTCCAATGCTTTGTCATGGTTTTTTTCTGTTAATTTCTGTATTTTGTAATTTAAAGAGTAAAAAATATGGCTGATGATTGCCAAAGGGCATGAAGCTTTAAGTTCCATCACAAAGTTGTATTTTTTAAAATAATCAAATTCTTTATATAACATATATATATATATATATATATATATATATATATATATATATATATATATATATATATATATATATATATATATATATATATATATATATATATATATATATATATATATATATATATATATATATGTATATGAATACATATATATATATATATATATATATATATATATATATATATATATATATATATATATATATATATATATATATATATATATATATATATATATATATATCCTTCTTGTATATTTATATATATATTCTTCTTGTTTCTTTTTGTTTGTCTGTTTTCATTTTGTTTAAAAAAAATATGAATAGATGAGTTTAAATCTATAAAATGTTCGCAATCTTTTTAAATTCAAAATACCTTCAATATATGTATATTTAAATATAAATTATAAAGTTTATTGGATATGAATACGCATATTACCGATTTGTAAATTATTTTTTTCAAACTTTTCAAACTTTTTATTATTTTCAAACTTTTTAGTTTTGTCGAACTTAAAAATTATTTTTAAAACTTTTTAATTTTTTCAAACTTTTTAATTTTTTTTTTAAACTTTTTTTAATATCACTCTATTATATATCATTTGAAGTTGTAAAATTTTATTTTATTTTTTCTATTTTCACGAAGGGGGTTGACAATAGGTCATTTTGTCTTCTACTTGCCCTAGTCAGCTTGTAAATGTATAAATTTATTTGAATGTAAGGTTAACATTGTAAAATGTGTCAAATGACGAAATAAATAATAATAATAATAATTTGAAGTTGTGGAATTAGAATTAAATTAAAATAAACTTTCATATTTTCTAATAAGTTTATAAATATATATATATATATATATATATATATATATATATATATATATATATATATATATATATATATATATATATATATATATATATATATATATATATAATATATATATATATATATATATATATATATATATATATATATATATATATATCTACTAAATTGTAGTTTCCAATCAGTATTTGTCAAAGAAAATCAAGATTTACCATATTTCAGCAATAAAACTAGTCATTTATTTGAATGTGACTGGGACCAAGAACTAAAAGAAGATATTATATTTAATTATTTATTAGAACTTAATGAAAACAAGTCACTTGGTTGTGATAACATTAGTCCCTACGTGCTAAAGCATTGTGCAGAAGGATTATCCAAACCTTTGTCTTTAATATTCAAGAAATCGATACATTCAGGAGAGCTGCCAGAATTATGGAAATCTGCAAACATTACACCACTTTTTAAAAAAGGAGACAAGAAAGATCCACTCAACTACAGACCTATCTCCTTAACATCGATACCAAGTAAGATAATAGAGAAAATAATTAGAAAAAAACTGATAATTTATATAACAGAAAACAATCTGTTAACGTCTCAACAACATGGATTTATACAAAATAAAGGGTGCCTAACAAACCTATTAGAAACTTTTGATATTATTACAACTGAAATTGAAAATGGTTATCCAGTTGATATATTGTTCCTAGATTTTGCAAAGGCGTTCGATAAGGTGCCCCACTATCGACTTATACATAAAATTTCTAACTATGGAATTAAAGGCAATATTTTAAATTGGGTTGATTCTTTTTTAAAAAACAGAAAACAAAGAGTGGTAATGGGTGAAGTTGTATCAGATTGGTGCGAGGTTTATAGTGGTGTACCACAGGGCTCTGTATAAGGTCCTCTTCTTTTTCTGTTATATAGCAATGATCTTCCCCAATGTATCTCTTCAATCGCAAAATTATACGCTGATGATACTAAAATCATATCTGTTATAAAAGAACATAATGATCTAGCTAATATGCAAAATGACATTGATTTGTTAACTGAATGGTCAAATGTATGGTTAATGGACTTTAACATAAATAAATGCAGTGTTATGCACATTGGAAGAAAAAATATTAACTATAACTACACTATAAAGCACGACAATCAAAGTTTTCTTCTAAAAACAACAACAAAAGAACTAGACTTGGGTGTAATAGTTTCATCCAATATGAAATGGAATCATCAGGTTCAAGTAGCTACAAGTAAAGCACAAAGAATCTTATGTTTAATAAGAAAAAGCTTTACTTATCTTAACACTGAAATGGTAAGGCAACTATACACATCGTTGGTTAGACCACACTTGGAATTCGCAGCTCCAGTGTGGAGTCCAAGTAATAAAAACAATATCAATGACCTAGAAAAAATTCATAGGCGAGCAACAAAGCTAGCCCCTAAACTAAAACATCTAAGTTATACCGAAAGATTGACAAAGTTGGGCCTCACAACTCTGGAAACAAGACGTATAAGAGGAGATCTCATTACTTTCTTTAAATTAACAACTGGGATTGATAAGATATTATGGTATAAAGAGCCTAATAAAGCTTCTTCCCAGAGACTTCGAGGTCATCCAATGAAATTTGAAAGAGAATTTGCAAAAACAACACCGAGACATAATTTTTTTACGAACAGAGTGATACCTCATTGGAATGCTTTACCTGAAAAAGTGGTTTCTGCAATGACAGTAAATTCTTTTAAAGCTAGACTAGATAAACATTTGTTAACGGCTGTTAAAGTATAAATTTTAAACTTTATACTCCGCGACAATCGTCGTTACAGCAATTTGTATTACTATTACTATTACTATATATATATAAACAAGTTTATATATATATATATATATATATAAATACGTTTATATATATATATATATATATATATATATATATATATATATATATATATATATATATATATATATATATATATATATATATATATATATATGTATATGTATATATATATATATATATATATATATATAAATACGTTTATATATATATATATATATATATATATATATATATGTATATATATATATATATATATATATATATATATATATATTTATATATATATATATATATATATATATATATATATATATATATATACATATATATATATATATATATATATATATATATATATATATATATATATATATATATATATATATATATATATATATATATATATATATATATGTATATATATATATATATATATATATATATATATATATATATATATATATATATATATATATATATATATATATATATATATATATATATATATATATTATATTATAAAATTATTAAATAGTTATAAAAATTAAAATGGATTCTAATTACCCAACCAATTTTGAATCAATTTCATGTAATTTATTTCAAACAAATGATTTAGTTATTGACATTGATTCAGATCCAGATATAAATTACTTTGATGATTCAGTAGCATTGCAAAGTAAATGCTCGTATTTTTATAACAAGGAAATAAAAGAATTTTTACGACGGGATCATTTTAATGTTGTTTATCTTAATATTAGAAGTTTGAAAAAAAACTTTGACAACTTATGTAACATTGTAAAAGAAATTTAAAATTTTTTTTAGCATAATATGCTTAACTGCAACTTGGTGTGACTCTGATGACCACGAATCTTACTTAAATCTCCACCTGGGAGGCTTTAAAATGATCCCGCTAGCAGGAAAATCAAAAAAATGAGGCGTTGGTGTACTTTTTTATATAAAAGAAAATTTGCAGTATATTATTAGGACTGACATGAGTAACTCTGATGACAATAGCGAAGCCATAACAATAGAGATTAAAACCAGTAGCACCAAAAATATACTTTTGAGTTGCTGTTATCGCCCGCCATCTGGCATAATAGAAAATTTCAATACATTCTTATTTAATAATATTTTAAAAAAAGGTTTAAAGGAAAAAAAACTTAACTATTTAATTGGAGACATAAATCTAAATTGTTTTGAATATCAAACTAATAACAATATAAAAACATTTTATGACGGTTTATTTCAGAACGGCGCTATTCCATTAATAAACAGACCAACAAGAGTAACAGAAACATCAGCTTCTGTAATAGATAACATAATAACAACTGATATCTTTAACAATTCGCTTAAAATAGGTATAATAAAAAATGACGTGTCTGATCACTTCCCTATTTTCTTTTCTTTAAATCTTGTTACCGAAATAATACAACAAAAAAAAACAAATTTTCATCAAACGGTTGTTCAATGAATCAAATATCGAATCATTTAACGATCAACTATCCCTACTTAACTGGAAAAATATCGGCTCTACATTAAAAGCAAATGTAGTCTATAACACATTCTACGAAACATTTTATGATATCTATGACGCA